TATTCCAGGAAGAAAAGAGATTGAAGGTGGGAATCGAAAAGTGAAATTGGCAGTGGTTTTGCTGACACAACGTTGTGACGCATGTTGGCACAGCATCCGCATCGGAAATTTTTGCAGATTTTTTGCTTGAGAGGCAGGAGGGTTTGCTAGCCACCTTGCTGAGGGGCCTCGAATCCCCGATGCTCGTTGCGAAGGAGCGAACTCTGCACTTAATCACCTCCTTAGCGGTAAGCATCTTTGCGATTTCTCTATCGGTTTCGAATGTACAGAAAAATGGGGCCCGCTTCGGTTTGGGAAGTCCAGAAATGGTTGCCGACGTCTATTTAAAAATTTCAGAAGTGGATCAGATCTGAAACCTCCTAGGGTCCTACCCTTTAAACTTTAAAGCCCATGAGAATATAGATGGGCATATGGGGATAACGAACAGACACTGGTCACCCAGAAAGAAAGGAGCAGGAGTAAGGTCAGGGCCAGGAGGGATTCCTTCGACAGGAGAACCCCAAAGCAGACACTGGGCTAAGATAATCTTGTCATGGACTCCGAGGGAGGCGTTCCCACTAATTAGAAGACGTCCAAACTCAAAAGAGGAAGTGCTAAGGCAACCCCTGTTCGGCAATGACCCTCTGATGGACATAAATGGGCGAAACCATGGACTCTCACGGGTAGGTGTAAGAGATGGTGAAGGTGGGTAGAAAAGGGCATATGGAAAATCGAACATATATGAGACGAAGAAAACGGAAGATGGAGAACGGAAAATGAGCTATAAGACCAGTCCTAAGGGGCCATCATAACCTGCAGAAGGATCTGGAAGAAATCATCAATAGCGTCCCAATAGCATGGGGATCACTGTCGAGGAAAGAAAGAACATGTATAAAACGGGTGTTGGGCAACGATGAGAAGCCAAGACACACCATCCATCGGTATCACTTCGCTGCAGGAAGCCGTCAAGGATGGACCCTTGACGTTCATGAACTCGAAAACGTTGGCAAAGCCGTCATAGCAGTAAAGAGAGGGGAAGCTAGAGAGTTTGCAATTCAACACCAAGGACAGAAGAGAGCAGGGCGAAGAAGAAGAAGAAGAAAAGGTAAAGAAACTATTTGTATGGGAAGCTAGAGAGTTTAGACCAAACAAGGACATACCGGAATGAGAGGTAGACCTAGGGGAATGGGGTTGGTACGAGGACAGAGGGGGAGAGGCCACACCAAAAAATGGGCAGCCCTGCACGAATACACAGTGAAAACCGGCTACAAATCCAGATCCAAGGCAACAAACCCAGACCGGGTCATCGTGGAGCGGTGACAAAGACATATACACGCAGATCCTACTTGGTTACAGACTAAACCATGGTCATACTACGCTTCAATCAGACCGCAAAGAGTAAGAAGTCTACAATGGGTAATAATGCACTTAGCAGTCCCAGTTAATGCCTGGCTAGACAAGCGATGCAAAGGGGAGGACAGAACAGAAACATCTGCCCAGTGCAAAATGTTTACGGAAAACCAGCCAGAGACCCTCACCCACTGCCTAATAGACTGCCGGCAGGCACAAACACTATGGGCCAAGTGTGCAGCAGCCTGGCATAATCTATCAGAAGAAGAATTCCCAAAGGATCAGTTCTTCCTCCTTACAGCAATAGATAGGGAAGGTACTCTTACGGATGAAAACAAACAGATAGTAGAACTGCTCCGGAAAACAACACTGTGGGTGATTTCGAGAGCCAGATGCGCGGGAACTGTCGGGAAAAAGCATACTTGCGACCAACCGCACAGCGCGCCCTAAGGGGTCCAGTACGGGACCTCCCCAACCTCCGTACAGGAGCGTACCCATACCGTACAGGACGGCACGGGGCCGCACGCCGTCGGGTGCGTCCATCTCCCGTCCGGAATCTTTTTTTTCTTTTTTTTTTATTTCATTAGCACCGCAAGGTGGATGCTGCAATCACCTTTCCTCTATCCCCACCCACATTCGCCACACCTGTTGATGCAACGACCAGACTGGACACACTAGGAAGACTGCTCCCACCATCAGTCGCCCTTGCCACATGGATCAGGGAGCAAGGACAACTGCGGAATCATGTACAGCGAAGACACAACTGCTCGTCAAGTGTGGAGCAATGCGCTGTACGAGGGGTACAATGACTCGAAAGCAATTTCAACAAGACACACAGCACATAACTTGTCTTCCCTCACCCATCCTCCCTACCGTCCTTTTCTCCCAAAACTACGCAAGAGGCAATCAAAGCAATCAATCACCCTTGGCGATCTCTCCATCGCCCATCTTACCATCTTTTAACCTGAATATTATCGCTGTATCTAGACTACATGCTGCCCCAAATGCAGCTGTAATGACCGGGCATTCACGTCGGGTGAAGGCAGTGGTCATGTTCTGTTACATGCTGAGCCTGCACACGGGCCCCGTTTCAGAGGCCTGACGGTTGCTGGGGGGCCCCAGGCCGCACGCCATTTGGGCACGCGCCCTGGGAGGCCCACGGCCAGCCTTTGGGACTGCAGGGATCGATTTGAGGTAGCATTTATTTATTTATTTATTTATTTATTTATTTATTTATTTATTTATTTATTTATTTATTTATTTATTTGCTGTTCTATTTTTTGTCTGTTGCAGACGTCGTTTCGGATTTGCAGTATGTCCGAATAGACTTACGGTCTGTTCGGACAAAGGCCACGTTTTGGGCCTTCTCCATTCGTGGCCAGGCCCTTTTCGGGCCAGGTTCTGGTTTGTCCGGTTGCGGACATTCCCTGCTGCATCAGCAGGGAGGGCCTGGACGTCTGGTAGGGACCCAGGCAGGCCGTTTTTAGGCCAGGCCCAGGGGCAGGACTTTTTCCTGCGATCTGGACGGTGGATCGGACCGACGATCTCGCGGACCAGATCGCAGGGCGTGGGCACAGCATCCAGGCCCAGCACTATTTATAGCTGGGCCAGCTCCTGGGCAGACACAGCTCGAGTAGCTCACTTCTTGGGCGACATGCTGCTCGAGCTGCACTATACAGCGCTGTGCTAGAGGTAGAGGTGAAGGTAGGGAGAGAGGCGGTGGGCATATCTGCAGCGGTGGATCACTCACCTAAGCGCCATAACTGGACTTCTCGCCAGCGACCTGCAGTACAGAGAGACACGTCGGCAGCAGTTAGTACGTGCCGGCAGTTACCTGCAGGTGAGGCAGCGAGGAGGGCGACATCTTCTTCTTTTTCCTGTTTTCTCCCTCCATCTCTTCCTCCTCCTCCTTGTTCTTCTTCTTCTTCTTCTTCTTCTTCTTCTTCTTCCTCTTCTTCTTCTTCTTCTTCTTCTTCTTCCTCTTCTTCTTCTTCTTCTTCTTCTTCTTCTTCTCGCAGAAAACAAGAGAGAGAGAGAGAGAGAGAGAGAGAGAGAGAGAGAGAGAGAGAGAGAGAGAGAGAGAGAGAGAGGTTACAGGCAGAGGTCATACCCGGCTATGAGGCCAAGGATCTGATTCGACATTTTTTTGCGGCAGACATTGATTGGACATTCGGCAGGGAGACTATTTTTGGACTTCGCTATTGCGATCTTGGTCTTCTCCCTCATCTCCATCTTCGTCTCGCCCCTCCTCATCCCCTCATCCGTGGTATCTCCCCGTGTGTGTACAAAGGCGGGACATTTTCTTCTATGTATGCGGTTCCTCCTTCTCTCTCACATGTGTGGTGTGTGATGGGTTTAGTCGCGTCAGTATCCTACAGGTCAGGCCATATTTTTGAGTCTTCCGCTGCGCTACATTGTGCTATTTTTGTATGTATCTGGACGTACATTGCTTGTTGATGCTTCGCTGATGCTTCATTGTCCATTCGAGTCCTTTTCATCAATTTGCGGATCCTTTGGCTCCATATACATCGCTCGATCGAGCATGTATCAACAGTATCATGTTCACTTACCCTGTTCCCACATCTCTCCTCTGTTACTGTTGATGTCATCACAGTGACGTGCGCACGTACACACAAGTGGACGTCCACTTCCCCTATTGTCACATCTCTCCTCTGTTGCTGTTGACGTCATCACGGCCGGATATATACCACACACCAGTGCTGAAAACCTGGTAGTACCGGGGGGCCCTCCCCCAACCGGAACCGGACCGGTCCTACCGGCCGGTCGACCGGGCCGGTTCCCCCCCGGTTGGCCGTAGCGCATCTTTATTTTTTTTTTTGAGCTCAGGGTGTTGTTGAGGCCAAGGACTAGACCCACGGTGATCGCTGGCAGCGGCAGCCGGTGGTTGTCCTGACAGGATAGGCCACTTTCCCTACCCTTCCCCACGTTAATGCTCCCAGCGCACCCCCTATCCAGCCCCCTTTTCAAAGTTTTGGGCGGAAGTACCGTCCCTACCCTGCCACTAACGCCCCCAGCCCCCTTTTCAAAGTTTTGGGCAGAAGGTTAACGTTTGCAGAAAGCTAGGTACGTGGTTGTCAATGTCTGCTGAAGCCCGTGCTTTGTGAAACCCCACCACTAACACCCTCACCATAAAACCCCCAACCCCCGACCCTCAACCCCTGAAATATCCCCCCAGTAACCCCCCAAACGAAACTTCTCTGTTCAAAGTTTTCTTTGCGGATTTGGGGAGATCTCGGTGAGCGCAGTCCAACCATGTTTTCAAAAAAAAAACAAAAAAAAAATTTGACCCACTTTTGGGCCCAACCGGAATTTCGGTTGGACCGTCGGGGGTCCAACCGGCCGGTTGCCGGCACAGCCATGCCGCACACCCATTACTGAGTATCCAAATATGATAATGTGAACGGGTCCCCTCTGTTCGGCGACGTCTCCCATCTCAAACCGTCTGTGTGGGTGTAATAAGGCAGAGTCTTCTTGCCCTTTTGAACCTTTTTCTGTGGGATTTCCCAAATTTTCTTTCTTTGTTTTTTTCTTTTTGAAAGGGAAGCTTTGCATTGCACGAAAACAGACAAAGGAGGGGGAAGGGGATCCTCCACATCTCAACCCGGACATTCCCCAAATTTACACAATCGAACGAATCAAAGTTGCGATGACCATCCATCCGTGGAAAGGGAATTAAAATAACTCACGAGGTTTGTCGAAAGTCAAAACGTTCAAGCTTTGGAAAAGATTCCGCCAACAGCATCAACTTCACTCTCCTTATCGCACCTTAGGGCACCTTACGCAGAGAGGAAGAAGAGGACAACAAACAAGGGCCTGTGACAAACTGTTTCGTTGGAGTTTCACCGCCTCATCAGGAGGCTGAACCCTCAACAGTCTGCAGAATCCCCTAAATGATTACACAGCTTAACCCCGGCTGTGGTTAAGCATTAACGACTGCCCGACAACAGATACCCTGAGGTGGGCACCAACCACTGCCCTCAAGGTACCTCTGACGAAAACCAAAGCAGTTTATCACTCGCCCACACCAGATGGAAAACTCTACAGACTGTCGGTTCACACCCCATCAAAAGCCAGCAAAACTCGCCCACACCAGATGGAAAACTCTACAGACTGTCGGTTCACACCCCATCAAAAGCCAGCAAAACACCCACAAAACAAAGAAAGGTCTCTCACAGCCAAGAAATAAACTCCAGACATGCCGCTGACACTAGAGGCACAGCATGGCCGCGTAGTGACGGCCCCGACCACTGCCGCTCGACCTGACCCCAAAAAAACTGTAGCAGGGTGCTAGCGAAGTCGTGGTACATATCGTCAAACAGCGCTGCCCGGTACACCGTAGGCAGAGAGGGAGAAGAAGACAACAAACAAAGGCCTGTGACAAACCGTTTCATCGGAGTTTCACCGACTCGTCAGGAGGCTGAACCCTCAACAGTCTGCAGAATCCCCTAAATGATTGCACTGTAAGTGATAATCCACCTCAACCCCGGTTGCGGTTCCTCTTCTCCCTCTCTGCCTACCGTTTACCGGGCAGCTCTGTTTGACGATATATCATATATATCATCAAATATATATATATATGGAGAGAGAGAGAGAGAGAGAGAGAGAGAGAGAGAGAGAGAGAGAGAGAGAGAGAGAGAGAGAGAGAGAGAACCATCCCGGTAAGCGATCTGAAGTCTTGATGATCAGTTCTTGTCGGTGGCTGCTATGTGGTTGACTGCTACACACACATGTGACGGTCGATGGACAGGTCATGGGTTCAAAACCTCACGAACGGTGAAATTAGAGGCTGCCAAAAGACACAACAATCACAGGGCCTCGCCGCACCACTGTCGAAAGGTCGAAAACAATCGACGGCTGTCAGAATAAATTTGACCGCCTCCCTTTGATAATTTGCCCCCCTTTAGCCACACAGCACTGTAGAGTGGACGCACTCGTGAATGCAAGAATGGAAAAAAAACGAACACGCCTGAGAGTATGACAAACATTAGTCAATCCCGACCTCACGTCCACTCACCAAATTCCAAAGAGAAGTCGATGGCGCAGCCGAGGACTGTCAAAAGCATCCATGTACACATTTCCTGCAACTGACCAAATTGTGTTCCCAACCTGTTAAGAGAGAGAGAGAGAGAGAGAGAGAGAGAGAGAGAGAGAGAGAGAGAGAGCTGTCTCTTATACACATCTAGATGTGTATAAGAGACAGATTACGTGAAGGGGTCGACCCTCACGACACTTCGAGTTTGACACTTGAGTGTCATAAGCGGTACTCGGATCCACGAGGGACCGCTTGATTATGGGCACTACATAGTACGCTATCATTGCGACCGCTTCCGTATTCAGGCATTGCTAGTAGATATGAGAAGGGCCTGTGCCCGCGCGGTTTTATAC